ATCAAGGAAATATCATACCTTCTGTTGTCTTCTTTTAAAAGAACGTCAAAAGTTGCGCTTGAACCATTTTGCACGAAAAATGCCGAAAACCTGCTTGAGCTTGTGCGCAGCTCGTATTGATAAGACTATTGACCAATCGACGTTAATTAGTTCCCAAATGATCATACCTAGAGTATTTTAAGATTTCATTTGCATGATAAGTTTTACATAATATACAACATTATTATACTAAAGGGAATGGTGGATTTACAGAGGGGATGCTCGAGCCCCTGCCCCTGACCTGAAATTACGTCACACACACACGAACGACAAAGAGACGAATTATTTCTGAGTCATCAGGATGAATGAATGAATTAATGAACGCATGTTTGTTAGTGTCGACGTGTCCTGTCGTTCACCGCCAAAACAGCACTCGTCATCGCATCATTCCCTCTGCAGAATGAGTACCATGTTTCAGCTCAGCGGTATAGTGTTTCAGTTTCCGTGAAATCTAAACCAGTCCCCTTGCGTCCATGGCTCAAAAAATAGGTTGTCGCAGCAGTGTCACAGACTGATGACTCAAACTGAAACTGCGGCTCCGTGTTCCGCAGCAGCATCTTTCTCATCAATCGAATTTGCTTAGAAGCAGCCACACGTTTCACACAGCGGGTTTGACAACTTTTGTAAACTAAAAATAACTACTTGTAATCCAAAATAAATGCATCCTTAATATTTTCACCCATTTTATCCTCGCTCTCGCCCTCTCTCTCCTTGTTCCTATATCTTTGCTTAAATGTCTTAAAAATAATGAGTTCATCTGCAGCCATGGATGATTTTTTCATAGGCAGGTGGTCTATACAAAACACATCTATTCTTACTTCGAAATAACCCCTTACCTTAGAAAACATAATTTTCTTCAATGAATCCAGTGAGCTCAGCCTTGATGTTTCTATTTCCTGTATCATTATTGAGAAGGAGGTGTGTGTCTTCCTCTCTGCAAGCTGCATGCTTCCGCCTCACATTTGACAGCTCGAATACAGGAACATGTTAAAGGAGAGGAAGAAATAGATAGAGGTTATTAATACTGCCTAAGTGGATCAAAATAAAATAATTTTGCATTCATAAAATTACAAACATATACATCTTAAACATCTACAGTATATTTAGTCTATTATTTAACAATAGCCCAAATCTATAAAAATCCGAAGACGGTTTATAAAGTTTAGAAATGCTACTCACTCTCAGTCCTTTATCTTCTATTGCCTCTGTCAACAGAAAAAGAGATAATGCTCATCCAGCTAAATCCCACTGGAATACTGGCCAGGAGCCATGATGCAGACTGAAAGCTTAAACTTCAGTTGAATGCACAATGCGTTCCATGCAGGAGCTAAAGATTTGGGGAAAATACTGACATGGTTAACAGACATCAGTGACTCTTAACGGTTAACAAAGTGGAACATGCCATGAGATTGCATTCCAATGCTGTTGTGTCGACTCTCATTGGTCTCATGTAATTGTATTGTGAAACAAAACAATAGTCAGCTAAAGTCTGTATAGATGTGTCAATATTAGGTTATCTTGCAGAGGCAAATATCTGTTAATATAAACAAAAAGTTCAGCTATTATTTGGTTCTTTCTCTTTAGGCTAAAACAGGCCTTAGAAATGCTTTTTTTTTTTTTCCAGATTAATTTCCATGCAGCGTGAGCCCCAGCAGTGCTCATGCCTGAACGTATCAAAGCTTGATGGGTCGTATTTCATGTAACTATAAATGTACAGCAGCAGTCACATCTAAAATAACTTTAAATTTCAAGGGGTGCTGCGATGGCCTGTCATTTGCAAACCCATGCACGTGCACCCACACAAACACGTTAGATTTCAACCTGTTTGAAAGGTGGGGGAAGAAAACACTGAATATCAATTATTTTTTTAAAAATATTTTAATGCACCATTAATAAAGGGTCCAACGCATTAATACAAGAGAAATATTGCAAATAATATTAAAACTTTAAATCAAATTGAAACGAAAAACAAAAACAAATAACTGAATGATAGGTATGTACAATTATTTTCTTGCAATGGGAAGTAGGAAAAGGATGAACATATTTACAGACTAGAACCAGTGTGTTTCTACGAGAAACAAACACCTCTACAATATTTACATGTAATTCTTTATCTTTTTTTGTCCTTTTTGTTTTGTTTTTATGGTTACACCTCTGTGGATCAGTTTTTACTGAAAGACTGCGGTAAATCTACATATTTTACAGGTCTTCCTCTGATAGGAACAGAATGCTGGCAAGGCCCTCTGACAAAGTGAGGAAAAAAGGGAGCAAAGATGTAATGTCATGTCCAATTTATGGCAGAGTGGAGCAGAGAGAGAGAGAGAGAGAGAGAGAGAGAGAGAGAGAGAGCAGAAGGACAGGTTATCAAATTAATGTGGAGAAAATCCTCAGGAGGCCACTGATTCACCTTGTTTGCCTTTGTGCCTCATTTAGCTCACAAACCAAAATAGAAGGCACTATGGTCAAATTCTCTAAAAACAGCTGAGTAGAATTTTTTCAGGTTTCTTTGATGAATAGAAAGTTCAGAAGAACAGCATTTATCTGAAATAAAGTGGAACATGCCATGAGATTGCATTCCAATGCTGTTGTGTCGACTCTCATTGGTCTCATGTAATTGTATTGTGAAACAAAACAATAGTCAGCTAAAGTCTGTATAGATGTGTCAATATTAGGTTATCTTGCAGAGGCAAATATCTGTTAATATAAACAAAAAGTTCAGCTATTATTTGGTTCTTTCTCTTTAGGCTAAAACAGGCCTTAGAAATGCTTTTTTTTTTTTTCCAGATTAATTTCCATGCAGCGTGAGCCCCAGCAGTGCTCATGCCTGAACGTATCAAAGCTTGATGGGTCGTATTTCATGTAACTATAAATGTACAGCAGCAGTCACATCTAAAATAACTTTAAATTTCAAGGGGTGCTGCGATGGCCTGTCATTTGCAAACCCATGCACGTGCACCCACACAAACACGTTAGATTTCAACCTGTTTGAAAGGTGGGGGAAGAAAACACTGAATATCAATTATTTTTTTAAAAATATTTTAATGCACCATTAATAAAGGGTCCAACGCATTAATACAAGAGAAATATTGCAAATAATATTAAAACTTTAAATCAAATTGAAACGAAAAACAAAAACAAATAACTGAATGATAGGTATGTACAATTATTTTCTTGCAATGGGAAGTAGGAAAAGGATGAACATATTTACAGACTAGAACCAGTGTGTTTCTACGAGAAACAAACACCTCTACAATATTTACATGTAATTCTTTATCTTTTTTTGTCCTTTTTGTTTTGTTTTTATGGTTACACCTCTGTGGATCAGTTTTTACTGAAAGACTGCGGTAAATCTACATATTTTACAGGTCTTCCTCTGATAGGAACAGAATGCTGGCAAGGCCCTCTGACAAAGTGAGGAAAAAAGGGAGCAAAGATGTAATGTCATGTCCAATTTATGGCAGAGTGGAGCAGAGAGAGAGAGAGAGAGAGAGAGAGAGAGAGAGAGAGAGAGAGAGAAGGATACGAAAGGACAGAACAGAAGGAATAGACACGACTGCCCGTTCTAGTGAATCTCTGCACATGCACATCTCTCCGAGTAATTGGGACATCCATTTTATGGTGAAGTATGCACACCTAGTTTTGGATTTTGGATCTTTCGACAAATGAGCTATGAGGAAATATATATTTTATGATCATATTATCCTTAGCAGAGTAGTTACTAGCCCCGCAATAGAGTGCTTTGTCTCAAAACATATGTCCCATTCCTCCACAATTCTTCAGTGGTCTACAATAATATCAATGCCAAAGGAAAACCCAATCAATATTTCCATTATTTTGCTAAAATATCAATGCACATATATTTCAGCACACCAAAAAGACGACTTTATCTGTCCTGTCCTCGTATTGCTAAAAACTATGAACGAAAGGGGTATCAGTTCATGTACGCGTTGTTAAAATGATGGCAGGTACATGATAACCTCTAGAATAACTGTTTTTACAATGTACTGGCATTGTAACATCTAATTTGTGAAAAATAAAATAAAGTAGTAAATGTAACAACTTACAATACTAGACCATTTTTAAAGTTACAGAATACCAGCACATCATGCTGGAAAAGGAGACATTTTTAATTAAGGTTGGTTCAGTTTAGAGGAAGTTTTGAAAGAAACGTGCGCGCCAAAACAGCTTCATATTAAAAAAAATAGGCAGAGGTGATACTACGCAGATAATCAGAAGAAGGTACAGCGATAGATCTGACCTAAATGAACGGACAGGCATCAGAACAGGGACAATAAATAATGAACTAAAATTATTACTCTCTCTCTGACAACAGGGGTGAAAAGTCTTAAAGGAACACTCCACTATTTTTGAAAATAGGCTCATTTTCCAACTCCCCTAGAGTTAAACAGTTGAGTTTTACCGTTTTCGAATCCATTCAGCCGATCTCCGGGTCTGGCGGTAGCACTTTTAGCTGCAGCTTAGCATAGAACTATACTCTCATTCCTGCGTAATAATCAAGGAACTTTGCTGCCGTACCATGGGTGCAGCAGGCGCAATGATATTGCGCAGCGCCTGAAAATAGTCCCCAGCACGCTCCTTGTGCAAGCAGGTGGTCACGTTGGTTATGTGGACGGATGTTAGCTTATTTTCAGGCGCTGCGTAATATCATTGCGCCTGCTGCACCCATGGTACGGCAGCAAAGTTCCTTGATTATTACGCAGGAATGAGAGTATAATTCGCAACTATATCGCAACTTTTCATTTTCCGTCGGTCTTAGTACACGATGTAACTACAGAAGAGTCAAGTTTTAAATAGGAAAAATATAGAAACTCTTTGGTCATTTTTGAGCGAGATGCTAACGGTCTAATCAGATTCAATGATCTATGTTAAGCTGCAGCTAAAAGTGCTACCGCCAGACCCGGAGATCGGCTGAATGGATTCGAAAACGGTAAACTCAACTGTTTAACTCTAGGGGAGTTGGAAAATGAGCCTATTTTCAAAAATAGTGGAGTGTTCCTTTAAATCCACGTATTTAAGTAGGTCTTTAAAAGTTGCTCTTGGAAAAAAGACCCAGCATTTTAAGGGTGTTTGCCACTGTCAAGCGTTGTGCATAAGAGAGTGGAATATGTGTGTGTGCAGTTGCTGAACAACTTCAAAGCATAGACCTTGGCAAAACAACACCATCCAACACAGCTGCAACAGGAGGAACGAAATTAGATAAGAGCCAGTGCAGAAAAAAAAAAAAACTTTACAGGTGGAACTGGAGGTGTTGCGGCAGTGCTGAGATCCCAATCCCCCTGGGCCAAACATCTGATTAAACATCTTGACACATCTGTGCCTGTATAGAAGCTTTTTAAAGAGTCTGATGTTCTCCCATCGTACACTATCTACATTGTTGTGCGCCGAGAAGAGTAGCTTGTGGGCCAGGAAAGTTGATTGGCAAGTCATGTATCAGGGGAAGGTCTAGGAAACTTTTAGTTGAGGGTTCCTCTGCAGTTCTCCGTGCCACACAGACATGGGATTTTGTTCTCTTCAATGGGGAACTTGTAATCATACGTGATCTCCTCGTTCACACCGATGGGCAGCTTGGAGTATATGACTATCTTCTTCTGGGACTCAATGGTGATCACTTTGGCGTAGCAGTTGGGCTGTGAGAGAGGAGTACATGAAATCATCAATAAGATGCAAATATGGGTTTCCTGAATTACATTCTCTCCCATAGGAGAGTTGGGAAATTTAAATGTTGCATTTCTGTTCAGCATAGCTCTATGGCAGGGGTCGCCAACTGGTGGACTCTGGTCAGAATCCGGACCGCGAAGCCTTTTGACATAATGAAATAAATAAATGCCAAATGCTATTTTCTAATAAAATCAAATTTCCTTCAAGCGCATCAAGGTCGGTGCAGTTGAGCCGTTTGGGTCCTACGGTGCCACAGGTTGCTACTACAGTTAACTGTTGCTACGTTCAGACGGGCAGTTATGCGTGCGGTAAAGAGAGCAGAGAGTGGCACGCAGACACTTTCAATAAGTGAAAAGCAATGGCATTCTCAAAAATAAGGAAAGTTGACAGGTCCTTAAAAAGCCTTAAATTTAGTTGCATCAAATTTAAGGCCATAAAACGTCTTAAATGGTACATGAAAGTCTTAATTATGATTTCAGGAGAACTTAAATAGTGATACGGCTTAATGTGACAACTTGTGGCTATGATTTCATTGAATAAATATGAGCGCTGCATGTTTCAAAGTCAGCTGCTGCTGTGCTGCTTTGTGTATTGTGGTTCTCGGGGAAACACCTATATTTCTATAATTCCAAAAGCGCCTCCTGCTGGCAGACAATTAATTTGTAATTTCAATCAGCCTGTCTGCTGTTTTCGTTCAGACCAATGTGAAAATCAACCCATGTTTTCACGCAGCAAACACGCAGAGTTGTAAATGTGAACTGGTGGATCGACAAGAAGATAATGCATTATAAAAATGTAAACAATTAAGACAGTAACATATATTTATTTGTTATTTAATCAATATAATAATTGATTGATAGTTGTTTAAATTAATATAATAATTGATACTTTTGACTCCATTTTCTTAAAAAAAAAATGCTTTAAAGGCTGAAATGTGCAGTTTATCATTTTATAAAACTGTTTGTTTATGTGAAAACATGTTTATGAACTGTAAATCATGCTTTTTACAGTCACTTTAATTTTATTTGTGCAGGTCTTAAAAAGTCTTAAATTTGAGCTTGAATATCCTGCAGATACATGGTCTGGCAAAAACTATCAATTCATGTTTTTAGGCATATAATTGTCCGGACCTCAGCTGGTGAGGAGGGTTCATTACTGGACCTGAAGCAATTTTAGTTGAAGACCCCTGCTCTATGGGGTATGTGTGAGCTCATTTTCTGTTGCTGAAGGGGATAAGCACCATAATGGTGCAAACACAAATTCCATTCACAGCTGGAGGGAGAACAAAACATGGTTTCGCTTTTACAAACCATGTAAAGACCAGATGCAACTTTATGCAAGTCTTATCAGCAATAAATGAGCAAATCCAGCAGCTGCAGGGAAGCACATTAAATAGAGGACAAAAATCTGCAGATCTAGAAGACCATCTGTAAACATTCACATTCAAAACAGGACTTGACAATAAGGACTATCCGATGGCCCGGGGTCAGTGTGAAAGACGTTCGGGACAGCTGAGGGAATTGTAACTGGCCTAAAGTCTAAGACCTACCTGATAACCTTAAAGCAATGATTATTTAATTTGTATCTTTGTTCTATTGTATTTATTTGTGTTATTGCTTGTAACATGCTTATTTGTTCTTATTTTATAAGTGACTGTTTGCTTATCTTTAAAGGTGCAATATGTAAGATTTTTTTATTACAATATCCAAAAACCAATAGAACAGTGTTATATATTTTGCTGACTTGTGTACTTACATTATCCCAAATGTTTCGAAGAATGCTTGAATCCAGAGAAATAAGCAATTTTAACTAGTGACACGGACCGTGTCTATAGTGTCATTGTGTCGCCTGCCAATGACGTCATAACCCCTCGATTTCCGGTTTTGTTTTGTAGAAAACATGGAAACACCAAAGACGCTTTAATATGTTGTGCATCTTATTAGACAGGTGACGACCGCACAGAGTAGCACTATAACAGAACTTTCAAATGTATCTAGTATGATAAATCAGCGCTGCTTTACCCCACATACTCACGACCGGAAGGAGCGGAAGCACTAAAGTGTGGCATAATAAAAGCTCCGCTGCTTTCGAGCCGTGTGTCACTCTCGTCTCTCATTAGCAATTGCTTCAGCGGCCTCGTTTCGCTTCGACGGCTTTCCGCCTCACTCCGCTTCATACTACGATGTTAATAAATCTTTAATACATTAGCTAATCCATAAACATGATTTCTGCCTGAGTCCCGTCGGATTGCGTCAGCTGTGGGGATGAAGACGACAACTCCCATGATTCCACACCCAGTCACGGCGTCATCAAACTACGCCTTTGTTTCTTCGTTTGTTTTGCATATGCGCACTCTAGCGGTGAAAACTTACATATTGCACCTTTAATAATGTTTCAATTTTATATTAAAAATGTTGGTATAATAACCTTGTTTATTAGAATACTCAACCCTCTACGCACACCTTGGCAACAGAATCGCCATTGGCTACTAAATATTTTAGTTTACTCGCCAGCCAGCCAGATATAGATATATAGATATATATATATATATTTACTCGCCAGACTGATGTACTATATATGGATATGTATATTATATATTTTATATTTTATTTTACAAACACATACATACACACATATATATATATATATATATATGTTTGTAAAATGGCACAGCTTTTTAAATATTTGAAAGTACACTCTTAACATCAGTCAGTCAAGCATTATAATATGAGTAAAATCTAAGAATTTATAAGTCGATGGCTAATGTTAGACATCATTTAGTCGCCCAGAGTGAAGATTTAGTCACATATGTGAGTGATTTACTCGCAATGTAGAGGGTTGCTACAAGTATAACAAGTATAATTGACACCCTATACACGACAAGGTTACAATAGCACTGTCTCTGCAGATTCATAAGGTCATAAGATTTCATAAGGTCTATAAAAAACTTTGTTTAGATGCTTCAACCTTTAGCTGATATTTCAGGTCTACTCACAATGTAAAGGGTTGAATACATAAGTTGTTGGGTTTTTTCCCAAGGCAAATGAAAAATTCACCTAAAAAAAAAAATTCACCTTTGGCATCAGGCCCTGCATAACCTAGATCTCCTTCAGTTTAATGAAATACTGATGGTGGGTTTATATAAATGTGGCAGCAGTATGTTTATCAGACATCATGTGGTATTTGAGATATATGGATACGTATGCGTCACTAGGAGGGTACTTACCGTGCAGCAGTGGTTAATAAACCGAGCCAAGTTGCCACACTTGGTGGCGTCAATGATAGTGTCATGATCGACACGGAATAGGTAGCTACTCCCGATGCCTTCTTGGGCATATCGCTTCTCCCGATTATCAGCAACCATCTACAAATGGTGCAACAAACGCACAATTACCACCAACAAATCAACAAGTATGTTTTCCTCAAGAGGAACCAAACTCACTTCCTAGTCTAGATCATTTAATAGCGGTTACTTATACTTCAGCTTGAAGGCTTACCTGTCTGATACTCTGTCCCACATATTCAATGACCATCTCATCTGCAGCGATGGGTTCCATGGCAAACAGGCCCCATTCATGGATACGGCTGCGGCCAAACCTCAGTTTCTTCTTACGGAACTGCAAGCAGATGAATTACAAGCATGAAGACATGAAAACACCAATAGGATTGACCATGTTTGAAAGCACAAGAATACTATATGAACATTAAACCCAAATTTGGCCATATTCAGAATGAATAACCACGATTATGCTAATATTTTGGTTATTAACGTTCGAAATAAGACAGATGCATGCATTTAAATTTGGATTATGCACACACCTTTTCATCATCTTTTATACTGCTGTTCACAAGTTTTGGGTCAGCAAGATTTTGGAATGTTTTTTAAAAAAGCAGTCTTTGCTCACCAAGGCTGCATTTATTTGATAAAATGCAAAAATACAGTTAAAAAATATTTTAACAATATTTCAGTAGTATTGAAATATTGTAACTTAAAATAATGTATTCTTGCTAGGACAAACTTTCACCATCAATACTACAGTCTTCAGTGTCACATGATCCTTCAGAAATCATTCTAACATGCTGATTTGCTGCTCAAGAAACATTTCTTATTATCAAATTTGAAAACAGTTGCTGCTTGATATTTTGGTGGAAACTGATCATTTGTTCTGGATTCTGATGAATAGAACATTTTATATAGAAATATTTTATAACATTATGAATGTATTGACTGTCACTTTTGATCCATTTAATGCTTCCTTGATGAAATATAATATAATATAATATATATAACAATTTTATTTAAAAAAAAATCTTACTGACTGATAGGGGTGTAACGGTACACAAATATGACGGTTCGGTACGTACCTCGGTTTTACCGTCACGGTTCGGTATGATTTCGGTACAGCAGGGCGAAAAACTTCTTTTTTTTTAAATGGTTTACTGAACAAGTTGCTCTTTCTTTAAATACATTCAGTTATAGTTTAAATGCTCTTAGTGATAAAAATCTACCTCAGCTTATGCTTAAAACTATAGGGAGCCCTTTTACATTATAAGGTTACAATTAGGCCTAACAACTTAACCCAAACTTAAATTTAATTACTATTTATTTTTAAATAGATGAACAACACTTAACTTTCAAAAATTTTTTATATGCAAACTGCACATAATGCAGTTTTTAAATGAATTTATAAATAATAA